CGTCGCCCTCCACTTCCTGTCGTAGGGCCAGGGCCTGATTGTCATGTGTGCGTTCCACTTAATATGATATTCTGTACTCTGTGAAGAAAGTGTGAAGGTTTACTGGCCTGAGTTTGAACGGAACTGTTCAGTATATTAGTAAGTACTATTGAAGGATGAAGGATCTAGCTATTTATCTGTGTGCTTTGTTACTCTTGGCTTTATAATTGAGTAGTTTCCTGGGTTTAAAAAATTAAAACTAAATAAAATTAATTCGACGTTTCGATACAATAAAACATTGAAAAAGAACTATACTTTTATTCATGGATCGATCGATACACTATGTTTTAGATATTTATTAACTAACTATTTTTTAAGAAAAAAGTAAGCCATTTGACCCTAAAATACTATGACGTCATAAGTCAGCGTTTCATACAAATTTCATAGAAAAGTATCGTTTTTGACATATGGATAAAAGTATTGAATTTGACTAGTTGGAAACTACTGTATTAGATTCAGTAGGTACGTATTACTGAGTTGGTATGGTTCATTGTGTTATATATTAAAAAGAGGGGAGACTACAACCAACCAGATCTACGATAATGCTCAATATCACCTGTCTCTCTCATCTCATCATCATCATCGTCACCTAAAATTCGAATTTAGTATTTCGTAGTAAGTCCCAATCCTTCCTTTCCCCCAATCCCTAAATCGCCAAATCCCTAATCCCCAAAATGTCACACTCGTAACTCTTCTATTGTTGCGGGTGTCCATGTGCGACGCTGATTGCTTACCATCAGGTAATCCGTCTACTCGTTTGCCGACCTATAACATAAAAAAGTATATGTGTATTAGTTTATATTTTGACTGACGGTATAAATTTCTTCTATATCGTTGACAAGTATAATTACACATCACACAGGCCTATACCGGAACAATAATTTATGGATTCTTTATTAATACACTAGTGTACAATCTATATGCGGATCCGATAAAGAGTTGTTCATGTGGGATCCAAATCCATCCGCGTCAACTATGTAAAACAACATTCGAAGTTTCTTCAACAACAATTTCAAATATGTGTCTCATCACTGTATAATGATTACAGCGTATTAAGGAGTATTGTATTGTAAACATATTTGAAAGCTTTTCATCATTTGCTGCATGACTAGCAACAGCCACCAATTACTGTAATTGAAAATGGTTATCTGTTACCTTGTAATGACGTCATTAACTAGTCACTACATAGTATAGAGAACAAAGTTGCTTTCTCTGCCCCTATATCTCTATGTATGGTTAAATCCTTTAAACTACCCAACGGATTTTAATTCAGTTTTTTAATGATTGAAGAGGAAGAGTTAAATGCATAATAACATCCATTAAATAGTGGAGGAACTAGTTGTCTATAAGGTATGTTTTTTTCTAAGAAGTTAAGCTCTCATGATTGTTGTTGAAGGAATACTTATAATGTGAAAAATAGGTTCCATTATCTGTCCATTTTGTACACAGCTACATATCTAATATGAATCTCCAACGCAGTTCTGTGCCCCGCGTCCACCTGTTTAATTTATAGTCTATGCCTATGTTTTGCACATCATCAGATACGATACGAAGATAGAAAGAGTTTTAGGTCCAAACAAAGGTGAAAAGGTCAAAATAAATAAAAGGTTTGACAGCTTTACACTGAAGATTCTTTGCTTGAAAAGAAATAACATGTTAGCGTCAAATTTAACAAGTTCCAAGCCAAAATATCAATTTAATACTATGATTGATCTGTGAACTAACGGGTTTTAAGACAAAAAACTAACATAACATGGAAACAGCATATCAAAATATCCCACTATGTCTTTCGTTAATATAAATTAAACCATAAACACCTTGCAATGAAGTTGAAAATTGTTTATACAATTAAGAATAGCTTGAAGTGTGATCTATGCTTTTAAGTTCAAACACAATTGTTGGTTCTCATTACAAGTTATTTATTGGAAAACAAAGGAAATACTACAATGGTTCTATTTGAAACAGATACAGTTATTACAATGTCTTTGTGTTACTGTTTATGGGCATAAAACAACACAAACGAATGGATAACTTCGATTTTATTCGTGTATCACCGTGGAATGTTTGTACCGAATTCCTCTTGTATGAGTTTTACTTACTAATATAATAGGTTCGTTATTAAACTATTACTCATTTTAATAGTCATTGTTACTCAATTAATCATAATTTTTAGGCTAGGAAAAGCTGAATTTATTTATTTGAGGTTAACCAACAACTGTTGACACCTTAACATTATCTTACAAGTAATATGTGATCATACACCTGTGTAACAATTAATTATAGGTTAACACCGCTAGTACAAGAATTGTGGCAAGAATAAATCAATGAAAAGGCACAATATGAATAAATCAATTACACAATAATGACAACAATGATAACTAAGTATAATAAAATTTATTTGAGTATTTGGCACGAATGGGTACATTGAGTCTCTTATTGTAAAGGTTCTGTGTAAAGTAAAAAAATCCTGACCGTACCGAATAACACTACGTTTAATAATTAGAGTTGGAACATTATCACACTGGGCGGGACCCAATATGGATGATGTTCAGCCAAGGTCAAGCAAAAAAATGTACCGTAGTCTCCGCTAGGAGCTAGAGAAACAACGGCACGGTCAGTAAGAGACTGACTCTCCCTCCTGCCTTACCTATGGCAAGAGAAGCCTTGGTGGTGTTCACACTATTACAGAAAACTAAGGACTGAGCCTCATTTTCTATGCTTTGGTTCTTCTTGTAACGGTATCAGACTCCCTAAATGCAATAGAAACTCTTTTACTGAAGTAATACTTACTTCAAAGAATAAAACAGCAGCTGTATCAAAACTACAAAATTGTACATAAATTAGTAATGTATCTATCATCCATAGAATAGGGATGATGACTAAAAAATAATAATTAGTTCATATTTTAGAACGCCAGAAAATATTCCATACGTAATTTTTCTTTTGTTTCTAAAACTTGAAATAACTAATTTACAGAGCGGCGCAAGTTCGCGCTATGTCATTATGTCATTATTTCGTAATTTTTACCCCAAGGAGCCGGATTTCTGAATTTTAATGTGCTGTCTCTTTGTCAATATTATTCGTATGGACAAATAAAAAAATACGAATCGAGTATTTTTCTATAATCTAACTGACGGAATAATTAGAATCTTGTTATTTTAACCCAGGAGACATCCCTATTCTGAAATCACATTTTTTTTAAAGTGCTTAAGTAGGTGTACGATTCCTTGATATCCGTTTAGCTTAAAGGAAGCGTCATAAAGTCAGTTACACTTACACTCGGCACGCGATGAGACCCGAGTTCCGAGTATTTCCGAGTGTTCGTGCAGCGATAAGTTCATACCTGACCGAGCTTTTGCAACCTCCGGCTCGTATTAACCGAACGAATTGAAAAGTTACGAGCTTTGATTTTCTGTACAGTCTAATGTAGTTTATATATATTCAAAAGATGTTGCTGTACAAACATAACATCAGGGAAGTCTTATAGATGGAATATTTGTCGTATTATGGCAAACGAGTAGACGGTTTTCCTGAGAGTAAAAGAAACCTAAATAACAATAGTGTTGCCTTTGGGATTATTGGAGATTTGAGGGTTAATGAATTGGAGAAGAAAGGGAGGAAACGGACTGGGCCACAGATAATCCCACTCACACGACGAAACAAAACAAAATTGGTTTAGCGCTGGTTTTCTGAGAGACCGTGGCATCACACCGGTGGAGCCAGGCCGTAAGTACATTGTGAAACAAGGCGCTCCTATACTTTTCAGGGATATACATAACTGTTTATTCTAAGTCTCCCATTAACGGGCCAGCTGGAAGAGATTTCAGAAGAAATAAGTTGTGCCTTTGTACCTAATTGTTTTATTCTTTTTCTTTTTTAACTTACTGTGTACATAAATTATTATTTATTAAATAAATTAATAATATAGGGAGATATAAAGAGGTATATCAACATTAGTACAAACGGGCTGTCATCGTCACTGAATACACTTCAGGTCTACGAATTGCACTGCATAAGAATGTGGCAGAGGATTTGCCATTATAATCTCTATCTTTGGCGGGTTTAATATCGCAACAGCCTTTCAGAAGGTTTGGCTCAATACAGAGCGGTACTATACGGATTCTCTCAAATTTTGAAATCTCTAAGAAAGAAAAAGCAGTTGTGGTGATCAACCTACAGCTCCAGCACACGATGATTTTATATAGGTAAATGTTTCAGTGAGTATCAAGTATCGCCTTAACATATCGATTACAATAACTTCAGGATTAATTAAAGAAACGCGTGTCTAGGTAACGGATATTGTCTTTCCGTATAAAAAACTTATTGAAAGTTTGCCTCAACCTTGAGGGTTTTTGTAATACAGTCATTTAAACTAATTAGAAAGGAACAAAGGATTATTTTCAGACGTTATTTAAATAAATTATAATGTAGATTTAGAATTAACCTTTCTATGTTTATTTAACTGTGACGACTTATTAAAGTGCAGTCACCTTCTCGAAATAGTTTATATGTGCAGTTTTTTTATGCAAAAACGTAATTTTGTATATGCCTAGGTCAATTTGCCAGAAAAAAAAACTGCAGACTCCTGCAAACAAGATCACAATGTTTATCAAACTACATATAAACGGGTGAACTATCAATCATCGCGTTCATTGCAAATAGTAAAAATAAATTAGATCAACATTTTTAATTACATTAAAAAAATAATAATACAAAAACAAAAAGTAAATCGTCCCCTACGTACCTACACGCATCAACCTGTTCCCGTCCAAGGAGTCAAAGATAAAACCTCAACAAAAGGAAGCGGAAAAGGGAAAAAACCAACGATTAGGGTGCAAGTCTATACAACTTGGTTGGGTAACAGGTGCCAGTCTACGCTTGCACGTGACCGGCCGCCATTCGCGCGCGCGCCGCCATAGCCGCCGCTTCGAAAATCGAACGCGGACCGACCGTTAATTTAAATATTTAAAAAATTCGAAGTGCTTGTGCAACGAACTTTTTGCTTAACCGAGGATTTTGTGCCAGTGTTGGTGTTATTGTGTTGTACTTAGTTTTGTACAGGTTGGTTAATTTTTTTTTCATATATAAGATAGAATATAAAGCTTTTAAATTTAACATAATTATAATTATAAAACAAATATTCAACATAGAGCCTATTAAGTAATTTCTTTGAAAGTTTTTTCTAACAAAATACAGTAGAAAAAAATCACACATGGAATTTTCAAGCTTATTTCATCTTACCACGAACGTCTTAAGAAAAGATTTCAACGAGCATCGTGTGTCGCTGCAGCGAGCTTTGCCAGTTGCCAACGGAAACACGAAATGTTCTTAATAACAATACTTACGTATCTAATGGACGGTTAATACTAATGTTAATATAGACAGATTTATGATCCGATTTATTATTACATCATTACGTAACGTTCGGATTAAACTCAACCGATTTATTAGTTTTACATTAACTTTAATATCGTTTTAACTGACTTACGAAATATGAGAAAGGAATTATAATCATGCTACGTTTTAGTATAACTCATTTTTAATAGTTCCGTGGTATTTATAAAAAAGAAAATGTAAATTATGAAATCGTCTGCTAAAGCTGTTCGTTCGTTTAGAAGTTGCTAAGTATGCGTGCACACGGAAAAGGTTCTTAGGCACGGTTCAACGGGACAGGACTTGAACCCGTGACCATTTGATCGCTGGTCAATGCCTTCACCGCTGGACGTTAGCCGCTCTTAATGTATTCTTGGGTAGACGTGTAACCAACGTGCAACGGAGTCTTAAAAGAAAAGAATTATGACTTAGCAAGTCCCTTAGTCACTATCAAACAAAATAAAATACAAAGGGAAATAATTTACTGTAAGGGTACTAAGAGATAAAGAACGTATCAGTTTAAAAATCGAATCCCTAAACGGTATTCAAAAGGTTTAAAAATTCCATAGAGTTCCGCGTACTTATCAACCTCTTTTTATCGGTAAGCGCCATAGTATTTATTACAAAAGGAGTTTTTACACTTAAATACATGAATAGATTACATACATTAAGTACAAATTACTGATATTAAGTTTTTTAAGGCGCTAAACGTGAAGACGTGACTCTAGATCACGGCTACACACACCACTCATTATTCACTGTTTATATAAGCAAAGTAATAATTACAAATATTTATAATAAATATGTACTTATGTAATAAATTAAAGCACGATGTTGGAAATCTATTAAGAAATTATATTATGATAAAATGTGTGTACGTTTCGTCAGTAAACAGATATATTTAAAAAGATTAAATGAGAACTATTTAAGTTATATACAAAATATGTAGTTGTTACAAAAATGTATAATAAATAGAAATCAATTTATTAACATAATGATCATAAACTCGGATACTAATCTAGAAGATACTAATTAATAATAAAGAAAAAAGACCAATTCCAAATAAATCACTGAAACTATTTTAATAAGGCACCGAAAGACCAAAGAGTACCTTAATGATGCAGAAATTTTCTATAACTTCATAAAAACATCATTGCGTCACTAACGGTGAAGAGGTGATGGTAAGATGTAGGTATTTATTTGGTCATGTAGTCTATGGCGCAACCACTGATGTGCAAAATGTCAAACTACTTGAAATAATCATATTTCATACATATGTAACCATCAACTAACGGTTAAGGAAAACGTTAATGATATTAAAAAGAAATAATCAAAAGATAATGAACGTTAAAGGGCATTAAAGTAATTTCAACATCGCAATTAATATGTTATTAATTAATAAGCGTAATTTAGTAAAAAAATTGTAAAATAAACTAACAAATGACATAGAACAAAACGATGGACCCTGAAATTAGAAAACAGAAGAAAAGAAACTTGCTAGATTAATAATTCATATGATTAATGATGTAAACAATTAATCAAAGCATTGATATAATGAAGAGGGAAAGGAAATCAATTTGCTCGTCGCGTCACTTTTGACAAGTTCGGAGAGAGCGATTACATAACAGACAAAGAGAACACACTGAAATCTGTAGTGAATGTTAAAAGCAGGTAACATGATGATTTGTCAAAGATAAGTGTGTTAAGAGCAAGAGAGAACAAAGTCAACAAGACTGTGGTTTAAGACAAAACACCTGATGAAATTATGCATATAAATAACCCACACGAATCATCGTCAACATCAAGTCATGCACTCAGAACATCAATAATCATTCAATATTTTATCAACTCACTGTAAGAAATATTGTTTCCAACATCAGAAGAATATAAACATGACAATAAAGTTTTTCATTAAATTAGGATTGTAAGAAAAACAACACCAAACGCTACTGAAGATACCAATTATTTAAATGCATTTAAAAATAAAACACTAAATAAGGATGCGAATAAAGATTGTCAAATAAAATCGACTAAGCAAAAAGCACCATTAAATGAAGGTCAAGAATCCAACGGAGTTTGAACTTGAAAACCTGTTCCATGTTTTGATGCAAAAGTTTCCATTTCTTGCAAAATATTATCTTGAACCTTAGTTCTTAAATATCGCTAAGATTGATTTTTGTGAGTAAACAAACAAATAATTAGAAAAGTGACGTCTTGATTAAAAAGTGTCACTCAACATGGTTAAATAGAGTACTTATACAAGTACTCTATCAATCAATCAATTTCGATTGGTATAGTAAAATTGTTTATAAAGACATAATTTGCAGATGCTTGTATTTCTGGCATTTTTTCTCACAAAATTTCTCTCTTTTGACAAAATTTACTTGAACTCTTCATAGCTAATTTCTTACTCAATGATTTCCAACCACTATATTATGTATTTCTTACCATCTTCTAAAATTAAAACCAATGCTGGTCGCTTGAACATTTTTTTTTGACGGTTAAGTGTCAGCCTATTTTATTGTGTTACCAAAATGTTTATCTCCTAGGCCATAAAATGTATCACTTAAAATTTTATGTGATTCTCAATTATAAAATCCTCAACCATATAATTTGCTGTTTTAATATCTTTTTTCTCCAATTACTTGCAAACAACATACCTACTGCCATAAGCTTTATTGTTCAACACTCTCGAAATTACTATTCATGGCCGTTGTGTGTTTAATTCGTATAAAAGCTTTAATAACAAGAATAATAGCATTTAATCACTACCCCTTAGTTACGTCGTATTCGCCCACCCCATAATTTGTCGTTTCCTGTATTGATATAACAACTGGTACACCCATCCACCTTGTCTCTATCCTGATATATTTGCATATTTGTCCAGTGCCTCTAGAAGTACTATTATTATAGTTATTACTAAAATCGTTATGGCTGTTAATGTATTCTGCTATGCAGTCGACATCATCTATAAAATTTATATTTTCTTTATCATCCTTTTTTGTTTTATTTTCTTTTTCGAAAACCTTAGCATCGACTCCGTTCTTAAGCGTAAATTTTGCACAGTCAATCGAAAATCAAAAATCTGACTTTGAGTACCAAAGAATTTTAGTTTTTTGTTTAACATTCTCAACTTTCCAACTCTTACTATTGGTCCCTGGGTGCTTCCAGTACTTTTTGTAAACCTTAGCCCCAACTTTTATTCCCGATACTGTATTTACAAACACCGTGGCCTCGTCACTGGGAGGGATAAGAACAGGTATAACGTGCGAGTGAGAGGGAACATGTTTCGGCTGTAGTGCGACTTGCAAGCGTGCACTATGCGTTTTTGCGGCTGCATTTCTGCAATGTTGGGTGTGGTGCAAGATAGTAGAGGGTAGAGACTTATAACTTAGACTGATTTATTTATAAATCTATTTTTTTGACTTTTCTAATTATTCACTTGAACTTTTTAGCATTTAATAGACTTTTCATTTCCAAATATGACAAAGGCGTTTCCTAATAAGACTACTTTAGTGCTTATATCTCGACAGTGTACCACTTGAAACTCACGTGGTATTATAAATGTTGTTCTTGTTATAATATTATCACGAATAGTGTCCGTTCCTCCGCTGTGTCTCGTGACTTGTGGACAAGCGTTAGACAAAAGCGGGCGGTCGGCCTTCGGGCGACCGGTTGCCGGCCGCTTACTTTCGTATTGCAGTTTCTGCCACGCTATTCAATTATTGCTCCAAATCGCACTCAGATAACTCTTTTGGCGTTTACCTGATTTTATCTGTAGAATTTCTGGGTAATTTTAACAGGTACGAAGCATAAGAGTTAAGTGGTAGAGTTTCAAAGAATTTGGCAGATTTTAATAACTCTGATTTGCTTTTATGACTGCAGAAGAATTGAAATGCTTAAACAAATGGTTATAACACTGATGTATGTCATTAGACCTCATTAGAGAGATTCTAAGAAAGTATTATCAATGGGCGCGTAATTAAATACGTTGATATGGGTACTAAAGAAGTCTTAAGGATAGCCCAGGTGGCACTCTGTTAGATCTACCTGATCTCTTGAAACAAAAATCTATGTTTACTTTATATTGTCAAAAATAGAACTGCTAGGAAAATAAGATCCTTTTTATACGCCAGAAATCATTTAAGTGTGACAAAATATTTTGCATCTGACGTCATCTCTGAACCTTTGAAGATGTGCTTCCATTTTTGCATGAATCACTTTAACATTTGAGTAAAGCCCCATTTTAATTTCATATTTAATCATGTGGGTGGTGAATCATTGGGTACCTAATAAATGATTATAGTAATTATATAGGAATTCTTTAATTTATTAGCGATCTGTAAGGAGCAATCACCTCTGTGGTTTTATTTTAAACTAATAGAATTAATATACTACATTACAAATTTTTTGCTTGTGGCTTCGTCCAGAAGAAAAGGTGACCTATAAACACTATTTATCTTCATGTGCTTAGGCACAAAAATATCCAAAAGCACTTCAATTGTAGCATTTGAATGTCAGGAAAACAAACACATGTTCGCATAATATAATGTTTTTTTTTTTTGTAAGGGGAAAATCATGAAATGACTTCTCCCGCCCAGGGTTAGAGGAGAGAGACTGTCTTAGTGACTAAAACCCCCATTCCTCCCAGTAGAAGGAGCAGAGTGGTTTTAAGTCATTAAGTCTGA